AAAAAAAAAAAGAAGTTTTAAATTTCAACTCTGAACTTGACTCTTATCCCGCAGTGGAAATTCAAATATAATTTTCAAACGAGAGCAAGGTAACTTTTGAACCTGATCCCAACGAACTCTCAATGTGAAAATTTTCTAATGGGAGAAATCTTGAGCTTCTTAGAACTTGAATCTTGAACTTCTTAGAATATTCTAACGAATTTTTAGCGTGAAAGTTAGAAATAAAGTTTCCAACAGTAAGTCGGAGAGATTGTCAGCTTGATTTTTGAGATTCTCAGCGAAGAATCGGCGAATGAGAAACGTCACGGTTTCTCAAGAAGATCTTGCGCGACACGAATCGCGGTAACAGTGGAAGAGATATGGCAATCGATCGGTTTTATCAGAATTCGTGTCGTGCTCGTTGCTTTTCTTCGACGCTCGCCACGGGACGGATGTAAAAACTTAAAAAGCATCGCTGATAGGTCGGAGCTTCGTGGAGCTTTTAAGCTACGGCCAGTTGCCAGCTCAGCTGCTGAAAATGGTCTACCGTGAACGGTCAGCGAAATCCTTGCATTTTCTACCTTGTTTCCTTCATCTGGATCTTTACACGAGTCCAATAATGTGTGCACAAAATTTTAGAAATTATGAAAATGTTATCTGTTTCTTTCTGCTCAAATCTGTTTAGAAAATCAGCTTGCCCTCGTTCTCCAAATCAAACTATCAATAGATTTCCAATATAATTAAGACAATATTAGTTTATATAACAAACGCCAGGTGGATTTGTTAGCGGATAAGAAATTATATGATCTCATTTAAAAGAATTACAAAACTATGAACATCAGATTCTGTGCCTCTTAACATCAAGCCATTATTTCCAAAGGAGACATTTTAGTATGTTAATCTTAATTCTGAAATTATGAAAGACGTATAAAAAAACAAGAACATGAATACAAGAATACTGTCCTTGTCTTTCATACGAAAGATTTTATAAAATTGGAGATAAAATATATTTTCCTTAAAGTAATAATTTTTCGACATACACAGATTAATTTTCCTTCTAAAGAGTATCGAGCTGCATCGATTAATGGATCAAAAAATACATCATTCCAATT